TTCGATGCTTTCCCCCTACTGCAAAAAAAAAAAAAAAAAAAAAACGGTGTGGCTTGTTAGCATGAATAAAAATTTAATTTATTTTATTGGTTTGGCTATATATGATAGATTTTGATGTGGAAGTTTTATACTCAATAGTTGCATGGAGGCACCACAATCAAATCAAAAGTGGTAATACCCTGATTAAGTAATAGAAAGCTTTACATTAATAAATTAACTGCAGTCCTTCTTAATACTTTTAAACTTAATGCACCAAAAACTTTAAAAAAATTTCAGAGAAGTACGAAAAAAACATTGAAGCGGTACCTTTAACGAATTTGCAATTGTTTTATACCAATCTTCTGTATCCTTCTCCATACTTTTTTCGATAATAGCTCAGTTTGGATATAAAGATTCTTCACATTGTAATTTTCAGATTGCAGAGAAATACTCCGGAAGTTAAGTTTCATAAAACAAATTAAGATTGAAGTGAGTAATAACAACAGATGGGATGGTTTATCTAAAATGTATAAGATATGTTAGTTTGGTACACGGTTGTTTTGCTTACTAAGGAAGGAGCCAGAACAGGAGTTAATGACCGGGAATAAATTATTTAAAAGCGTGAGGTAATAACACAACTAACATATATTTTAAGCAGAAATTTATGCGAAAGATAGGATGTGTACTTTAATGTTAACCGTAACTATCAGTACCATAAAATTGTCATCTTAATTGGCAGACAGGCAGCAATAAAGCCTTTTACTTCTCATTAAGATTGGTGATGGAATAGTACAAAAAACTGAATAATCTTATTCATACTTGAATTTAAGGATTGTATGAAACAAAGTAAAAATAATTTAGTGATCATAATACGAATTCAATTAGAGGTTAAACTATCATCTTAAAAACTGGGAGCTTATTCAGTTTATGCGACAGGAGTGCTTCAACGAAATAAATACCTAAGTGGACATCTCATATCGGATGCAGATATCACGCTCTCTTGCGTTGGTTTAATACTATAATCTATGGAGGAAGTTATATTAGAAAAATTTGTCTGCATCCATAAAAGAGACACAATAGGTCTCCAAATCGCAGTGCAAAATTTCACAACATAATAATTATATCCAGAATAAAAGCAATCAAATCATCAAATAGTATAAGTCTTTTCACTTGTTTGTACCATTTTCATTTACATTTCTTTTTTTTCCTTCTTTCTTATCCCTTTTTGACGTTGTGAAATGTAATAAATTTTTCCAAGCCTTGCTTTGCAATATCATACAACATATCGAACGCATCGAACTCATATTCGATCCATTGAACTATTTAAAGTTATAATATTTTAAAACCAAATGAACAGAAAAGCGCCCAATACATTTGCTCTAGCGTAAGTTAATTTATATACATATGTTTATATATATATAGACGAGTTCACTTCTTATATAAAAAATAATATTTATTTTAGTTTAAAATAGCAAGCAAAATATGAAAAATTCTATTTTAAATATGCTTTATAAATATTTAAACCTTCCTGTCTTGCCTAAAGTTCATTGATTTCATTTGTCAATTGATGGGCTTTCATATGGCCACTGTGCAATCCCCAATCAGATTTTGTAATGCAATTTTGACTCCGATGTCGGTGCAGCAGCAGTGAAGCGTTAATTTTCGTCGCTTGTTAATTGACTCGTGGCATAAATGATAAATCAGTGCCAGATTAATGTGTCAAATGAAGTGTAATCAATGCCTGAAACATGGAATTAAACATATATGCGTGGAGTGGAGTGGAGTGTAACCGCGGCTTCAAGTAAACTCCACTAATAAGACAGCGTGCATAAAAATAACTTTATTAATAAAATTATTAACCTCATCAGATGAAAAGTAAGTATCGTTAAACTTAATTCTGAAGTCGCTTTTAATATGACGTCAGCCATGTCATTCTCAACAAGTTGTAATT